ACATCGTCCCGGATGATATTTATATCGTCCTGGACGATCGAGCTCAAAACAGAAGATCTAATCAGGATTTCTTAGTTAAGACAGCCGTAATTAACTGATCGGCCTGGACGATACCTGTATTGGCCAGGACGATATGCTCAATACAGAAAGAAATTGTCGCCATGATCAATTTAGGTATTCTGTATTTTTGGAAATCGGTCAGGACGATCATGAGATCGGCCTGGATGATATTACACAATTATGCCTAAATTGATCCAGGAATCAAGGAAGTAATTAAGGATAATTGATAAGATCACATCGTCCTGAACGATCGCAGGATCGGCCAGGATGATCTCTTAAAAAACCCTTAGTTGCTTCTGGACGATAAATATTGGCCAGCTCAAATTCATGGCGATGCTCTGGACAATTTTCCTTTGATTTGAACTGATCGGCCAGGACGATCGTGAGATCGTCAGGGACGATCAAGCAAATTTTCAATCATCCAATTTGCATTCAGGGCGATGCTCTGGCCGATCTTATGAGATTTGTACTGATCGGTCAAGACGATTTCCATATCGTCCTGGACTATAAAGTCGGCAACTTGCCATTAATGAGCCCCTTTGAAGCTCTTCTATTTAAGAGCTCTTGTTCAATGTTTTTGAACATCCTTGGCTGCTGTCTTGACCTGAGAAAACCTAAAGGAGAGAGAGAGAGGGAGAGATAGAGAGAGGATCTTGTGAGGGGGAGCTTGTGAGGGGGTTCACAAGGGTTGCTCCAAACATTGTTCCACTTCTTCTTCCCTAGAGTCTCTTGCCCTTGGAAGGGTTGAGAGAGGTAAGTTTCAGCAAGTGATCGTGGTTCTCTGCCTTCTTCAGGAGGAAGCAAAAGGAGTTGGGTTCTCTGCCTTGCCGGGTGTGGCAAAAAGGAGGTGTTTTTGTGAGGGCTTCTCTGCCTAGCTGTGGGGGCTAAAGGAGAGTCACGTTAGTAGTGCAATACTCGGAGGGCGCCTCCGGGGAGTGGACGTAGGTCAAGATGACCGAACCACTATAACCCTTGTGTTCTTTTTACTGCTTCCGCACTTTAATTTTTTCTGCACTTGTTTTTTCGTGGTGATTTTGGTTTATGATAATCGTTCTTTTGGTTTTAAAGAATTTTTTAAAATACCAATTCACCCCGCCTCTTGGTTAGCCTCGGGACTAGTTCATAGGGCTTAACATCCCTAACGAACTTTCATGATTCACCCCGAGTCACACTATAAAAGTGAAAGGAGAGATAGCTGACCGTGAGGTGGTGGTGCTGATTGATAGTGGGGCAACCCACAATTTCATCTCCAATCAGATCGTGGAGCGATTGGGAATAGAGTTGGTGGATACAAGAGGCTATGGGGTGATGATGGGCACAGAAAAGGTGGAAATGGATAGAGGAGTTTGCGGAGGGGTGTTTCTGAAGATTCAGGGGATCCAGGTGAGAGAGGAGTTCCTTCCCTTGGAATTGGGAAACACTGACGTCATCCTGGGGATGAAGTGGCTGCAGACATTCGGGGATACCAAAATCAATTGGGGTATACTGAGGATGGAGTTGGTGGTTGGGGGAAAAAAGAGGATGATTCAGGGTGATGTCGGGCTGACCAAGGCAGGGGTTTCTTTCAAATCCCTCATCAGAACCATTCAGGAGGAGGGAGGAGGCTACTTAGTGGAGTTGTACCGCCTGGAAGGGGTCAGATTGGAGGAGGAAGACAATGTTCCCTCTACAGTGCAGCCGCTCATACACCAATTTAGCGAGGCCTTTCAACCTCCCCAAGGTTTACCTCCTCAGAGAGAGTTAGAGCATGCCATTACTTTGAAATAAGGGGAGACCCCGATCAGCATCTGCCCTTATTGCTACCCACAGATTCAGAAAGATGAGATTGAGAAGCTGATCTGAGAAATGCTGGAGGTGGGGATCATCAGACCCAGCAACAACCCTTTTTCTAGTCCAGTCCTCCTGGTCAAGAAGAAGGATGGGAGTTAGAGATTTTGTGTGGATTATAGGGCTCTGAATAAAGGCACTGTACCTGACAAGTTCCCAATTCCGATGATTGTTGAGTTGTTGGGCGAGCTAAATGGGGTAGTGATGTTTTTTAAGCTGGACTTAAAATCCGGATACCACCAGATCAGAATGAGGGAGGCAGATGTTCCAAAGATAGCATTCAGGACACATGAAGGGCATTATGAATTTATGTTAATCCCTTTTGGGTTGACTAACGCTCCTGCTACGTTTCAGTCCTTGATGAACAGGGTGTTCAGGTAGTACTTCAGGAAGTTTGTCATGGTATTCTTTGACGATATTCTGGTATACAGCATGACCGGGGAAGAGCACTTGGAGCAATTGAGGATGGTCTTAGAGGTACTGCAGGAGCATCAACTGAGAGCCAACCTGAAGAAATGTAGTTTTGCTCAGTCCAGTGTAGAATACTTGGGACATGTAGTATCCCAATAGGGAGTGGCGGCGGACCAAACCAAGGTTGAGGCAATGCAGAAATGGCCACTACCTAGGAACATAAAGGAGTTGAGGGGATTCCTAGGATTGACTGGCTATTATAGGAAGTTCGTGATGGGGTATAGTACCATTGCATGATCTTTGACTGAGCAGCTGAAGAAAGACAACTTTGCTTGGGGAGAGGCAGCGACCTAGGCCTTCTAGAGGTTGCAGAAAGTCATGACCACTGTTCCTGTTCTAGCTCTTCCAGATTTCAACCAAGCCTTTGTTGTAAAGACCGATGCATCAGGATATAGTTTGGGAGCAATGTTGATGCAGAACCACAGGCCGGTAGCATACTTCAGTCAAGTGCTATCAATCATGGAAAGACTGAAGTCAGTGTACGAGAGGGAGCTAATAGCAATTGTGTTGGCCATTCAGAAGTGGTGCTCCTATCTGTTGGGTCGACACTTCATCGTCCGAACTAATCAGAGGAGCCTAAAGTACCTTTTGGAGCAAAGGATGGTGACTGAGGAGCACCAATGGTAGCTATCCAAATTGTTGGGCTATGATTTTGAGATCTAGTACAAGCCTGGTTTGGAAAATAAAGCAGCAGACGCCCTATCCAGATGTGGAGAGGAGCTCCAAGAGTTAGCTCAGTCAATGCCCTTGGTGGTCGAATGGGGGGCCATCAAGGAAGAGAACAAGTTAGATGAAGAATTGGGAAAGATCAGGGAGGATATGAGGAAAGACAAGAGTAGCCATCCGGGTCACTGCATTGAGGGGGAGAGGCTATTGTATCACGGGAGGTTTGTGCTGCCACGAACGTCCATACACATTCCCCACTTGTTACAGGGGTTCCATGGCAGCGCAGTAGGAGGCCATTCAGGAGTGCAGAAGACATACAAGAGATTAGCAGCTGAACTCTACTGGAAGGGGATACATAAGGAGGTGGTGGCAAGGTGTGAGGTGTGTCAGAGAAATAAATACATGGCAATGACACCAGGAGGGTTACTCAGCTACCATACACCCGGTGTTTCATGTGTCGCAGTTGAGGATAGCACTTGGAGAGCATGCAGCAAGTGTGGAATTGCCAGCATCACTGATAGAGGATTTGGAGGTGGTCATGAAACCCTTGGAGCTGGAAGGGGTAAGGTTGGATAAAAAGGGAAACAAAGAGATGTTGATCAAATGGAAGGATCTTATCGACTACGAGGCCACTTGGGAGCCCTATGAGATGGTGAAGCAGCAGTTCCCGTACTTTCACCTTGAGGACAAGGTGAATCTTTGGGAGGGGAGTAATGTTACGCCTGGACGGGTCCCAGCTGGACCGGTCCGGTCTACACCTGCAAGGCTGGGCGGAACCAGGCGGAACCCAGCGGAACCAGGCAGAACCCAACGGAACCAAGCAGAAGCCTGGTGGGCCAAGCATGGGTTAAACACATAGTTTGGAGGGAAATTTTGAAATAGAAGGGTTTTTTTAGGTATTTTATAAAACTCCTTTATTGTTAATTAGGAGGATTGGGGGGGAAGAGAGGGCAGCTTGAATTTTAATGTAATTGGGATATCTAGGGTTTGGAGTTTTGGGCTCTTGGCATTGCCGGAGATTGAGAGAGTTATTCCTTCCTCTCGGATTGAAGGAAATTGTATCTTTGCTTGTTTTAATTCTTCTTCTAGTGAAATACAATTGTTCTAGTGGAACTTATCCACGTTTTCTCTCAGTTTTCTCCTCGTTTCCATTGTTTTGGGGCTGTTTTACTGCTGTGGACAGCAGTTTTCTTTGTTTAGGTACTTCATTTGGGTTAGGTTTGCTTGTGCATACAAGTATTTCCTATCAGAATGTTTCCTAATTGTGTTTATGTTGTTTATGAAAATTTTCTAATTATGTTTATGTTGCTTAGGAATGATTTAATTATTTAAGAAGGTTTTCTAATTGTGTTTATGCTGTTTAGGAAGAGTTTAATTTTTTAGGAAAGTTTCTTACTTGTGTTTAGGCTGTTTTGGAATATTTTAATTGTGTGTTTGGGCTATTTAAGGTGGAGTTTGATATAGGGTTTGAAACTTATATTTTGCTGAAGTTTATTATAGGGTTTGTTGTGAGTGTCCTAGCAGCATTTAGAGTTTGTTGGAGAGCTAATCTACTTCTTGAATAGTAGATCACTTGAATCTTTCTTGATTATTGAAGAGAGAGTCCAAAAATCAGTCCTAATATTTGATTCCTGTAATTTTCTTTTTCTCTACTTTGCTGCTTTCACTTCCAAGATGCATCATTTTCTCTCCATTTTTTCCAAGCATAAAGTATTGCCAACACTTATACCATATGTTACTTCATATGGTGCCATTCTCTTAACTTGCTTGGCTACTATTTTCATATGCAAACTCTATTAAACCAACTCCAAAATCAAGAATACCTAATCTTTACAGATCTTGCAAAATTTGAACACCCTAATTTAGGTTCTTATTTCTAGTCTGCCATTTCAGCTTCTGGTTGAAATGAGAGTGAAATTTTTTACCCAATTGTACATCTGAGATATTTGATCTTGGTAATGTTTATTTGGTTACAGGATATGGCTGGACTGATCAGCAAAATAAACCGTTCTTGTATTGGTCCGGTGCCTCCTTGCTATTCCTCTTCACTGTAAGTGCGCTTTATGACTACCTTTTCCTTTAAGTTGCTAAATATCATTTTTATATTGATCTATAATAATGGTTTGTGCTCCTGCACCCTTTTAATAACCCCCTGTTTGAGGACAGCTAGATTGATTGTCCATGAATCATTTAGGCTTCGTTTAGGACAGCTTTCTTACTGCTTTCTAAAACGTCTTTCGAGTACAAATATTTCTAATTCAATAAATTTTTTACAAGAAAATTTTTTAGAAAGAAGCAAAAAAAGCTGTCCCAAACGAAGCCTTAATCTATCTAAAACACCCTATGCTTGAGTGATTTTGACCAAGAATTATGCTCGTTTTATTTTAAATGTTTCGTCTTTGAAGCTAACATTAACATATGATTTCTATCAGTCGTGTCGTGTATAATAGCTTTGACAGCCTAGCCTATTGCCATGTTAAGATGGGAAGACCCTTGTCTCTTGTTAACGACAATCCTACCATCATAAAGTAATTGGACACAATGCACTTAATGAATTAGCATCACATACAACCATAATAGTATCTATTGCCATCATCTGAAAATCAAATGACGCTTATCTTCCTTTCAAGATTATATTATTGTCATGATAGCTATGTTAAATGCAGTTCATACAATGACAATAATAATGTCACCAATCCTCTGAAGATCAAACGATATTCAAGATCGCAACAAGCAACACAATGTTATAGCATGATCTGATGATACCCAAATACACACTGATATTTATGCTATCTATACAACTTGTTGTCCCTATCGTTGCACGCTTTTAGTGCATTTGTTGCCAGAATGCATGAGGACCAATCTAGATGCCTTTGAATTCATCCATCTCTTAACTGCCCAAAAAGCATTTTATGTTTGATTGTGAGATGGATTATCTTTGTGAAAACTTTTGCAAACAGTGGACTTCTGTAGTTGGGCAAGGCTCGGTGGTTATTTCTTTTCAATGGTCGTGTAAAAATAGTTTTCTTTGAATTAGTGTATGTATATTTGAATTGTAATAGCATGAAATTCCCATGTCTTATTCTTGAAATCTCTTCTAACAAGCAACATCTATAAATAACATCTTTTGAATTAAATGACAAGCTTTAATCCTTTCCAAATTAGTCAAAAATATTTGTAATCCTGATGTATTTGTTTTGATATTCAATTGAAAATAGAGTTTCTTCCTCATAAATAGCTGAAGCTTCTGCATTTAGTGTTATTTACTGCTGATGACAACTGTCATTTCCTGCAGGAAAGCACTCATTAAAAGTATGTTAAGAAAAAACCCCGAGCATCGGCCTAATGTAAGTTGACCTAAAATTCTAAGTGGTAGTTTTGTCAATTTTCCACACCATGTACTATCTTGGAGCTGATTTTAAACCTAATCAGGCGTCGGAAGTATTAAGTAATCCATATTTGAAGCCATACGTCAATCAAATCCGATCATTCCTGGAACTCAATAATGTGACTCGATCACCAGAAAAACCCGTACTACTCTCCACCTACAGTGATATTCTGAATAATATGTCTGTTAGTCAAAGCAGTAGCATTTCCAGCGGTGATTGGGAAATTCTGCACTCAACAGACAGAAACATTTTAGACCAAGAATCTTGCCGTCGTAACAAGGCTCTTGAAGCTTGTCATCTAGCTAAGGATACCGTAGAATGCAGTAGTGACAATGTGGCTGGAACACAAAAACGAAGTCCAACCTCGTTGAGTTCCAACCTGCAGGAGACTAACGAAGCAAAACAACCTAGAAAAATAAAGAATATTGTCATGGCTCTAAAAGAAGAGGGAAAAGTAAGAGAAACCAGCTCACCCCCGAGAGCTAGCTGGGTGAAAGCAGGAGCTTTGTGCAATCCTAAACCATGCATAGAACCATCTAATAAGGCACCAAAACATTGCCGCAGCAATTCTTTGAACTCTCAAGCAAGTTCAGAAAAAGATGCCAGTGAATCAACCAGGAGTGCTGATGATTATACAACACGTCTGCTGTCCTCAAAGCATCAGGTCAAGTCTACATTCCTTATGCTCTTCACCTTTTCACTTCTTTACTGCTCTTTAATTTCTTTTCTCTTTGCTTGTGACAGGAACATGTGGAATCAACTTCGAAGTTTAAACCGAGAAGTGATTTAGTTTCACAACCTGCTAATGGCTTAAAAAAAATTAATGAAGATGACATTACTGTTAAGATGAACCATAGACATCCGTCCAGCATGGCAAGAAAGGCCACCAGTCCCATTAAGAAATCTTTTGGCCTTGATAACCGAATACCAGTGAATATTGGGAGTAGAGGACTTCCCCCGAGGGTTAACCGGGAAGGTAATAAGAGTCCGCAAGTGGTGTCTCGTAACTCCAAGCAAATAAATGGTCAGATGATGAAATACGAAAAGCGCCCTTGTGAACCTTCAACGGTTGAGATAAATTCTGGCAATTTGAAAGCACGACCTACCGAGAGAGAACTTTATCCAGAAATTTTCTTAAAAGAGACCCAATGTCTCTCCCTCCATGATGATATGCTTAACCAGCATTATATCGCACATGAGTCCGAAATTTCAGAATCCAACCCTGCTGGTTGCTCAAGAATTCCTGATGCACATCAGGCGCTTGATTATTCTACTGCAGAGAGTCATGAACTCGATTGTCGATTATCTACACAATTTTCTGAGGGTAACTATTCTTTTGTGGAAAGTCATGAACTCGGCTGCAGGACTCTTCCACTACTAAATCCTGAGGTTGATTTGATGGGCATGCAGAAGAGTACTACTGCTAGTAATGATAAAGTGAGTTCAAGCTCAGTCATGGAACTTTCTGTTGCAGGCTCAGAACATGAATTTGCTTGTAAGGATGACGTCTTTATAAACATGACTCCGCAGAAGCCTCTATTTGTGCAAACCAAAGATGACAAATACACCGTTAAAGAACTCATTTCTTCCATACCAACTATTGCACCTTTTGTTGCAACTTCAGCTCCTAAGAGTTGTCTATTCGATAAAGGACCAATTCAAAACCAGGCGTTGGAAAATCAAGGTACTCATATAACTCCGGCTTTTGATGATGTTATACATGTAATAAGGCACAGTAGCTTTCGAGTAGGCAGCGAACAAGTTCTAATTGAAAGCAAAGACATGCGAGTTCAAAATGAAGACATGAGGACAATACTTACTGTTGTTAAAGAAGATTTAGAGAGGAGAAATCCACCGCCTTCGAGCAAGAAATCAAAGGGCATTTCAGAGTCTTCAGCTGCTGAAGAAATTAGAGAGGAACAGCGTAGCATGCAGGAGAAATCTTATTATTCTTCAGAATTACTTAACTCAAGCCATGTTGAGCTCACTAATGCCTCAATGGATGATGAAGCTCCATCTAAAGAGTCGCTGGATGTGAAATCTTTCAGGCAGAGAGCTGATGCGCTGGAAGGTTTACTTGAGCTTTCAGCTGAATTACTTCAGCACAATAGGCTGGAAGAGCTAGCTGTTGTGTTGAAGCCGTTTGGGAAGAATAAGGTCTCTCCGAGAGAGACGGCCATATGGCTAGCAAAAAGCCTCAAGGGAATGATGATGACGGAGGACTCTAGCCGCTTATCGTGAGAGATCTTCTCTTACAGGTTTTTTTTTTTTGGATGGAACCGTAAGTCTATAGCTTAACACGTAATTCTTCTTGGTAATTTTCTTTTAATTCTTTGGACATGTTGCTGTAAATAATCAAATTCGTTGGACTAAGACATTTTGCCCCAAATTCAGAACCTACGACTAGCTATTTTGAAAAGGTAATAAACTATTTATGCAGTATATTTGAAAGAGAAAAATCAGACCAGAATATCTTGAATAAAATTTTAGCAGGTTATGTTTTAAATTTTTTTAATTTCTTTTAAGATAAGCACAGTATATTGATTGATTGTTCATGTTATTCATTCATCTCCAAACAAATCTAAGAGATCATTTGATATCACATTTGTTTATTTTTTATTTTTTATTTTATTTTTTTGAAATAAAATATATTTAGTATATTAGAATTTGTCGTCACACAAAATGAAATATTAAAAAATGACATTCATCACGAGCACAATCCTACATAATAATATGTAGCCAAAAAAATATTACTCTTATTGTTACATATTCTGCAATAATAATCGTACACAACCTTGGAGCTGAGTTTATGTGGGACAACATCTGAAATTGATAATATATTCTTCTCGTATTCACTGTCAGTCTCTTCCATTTAGAAATTCCTTAGGTTTACCTTGTTCAGAAGATTGCAACAACTTTTTATAACATTTAAATAGCAATTTATTATTATCCTGATACCACTTACATTATAGAATACAATGGTCTATGTCAAGCATCGATCTTCCCATTCCCGGTTCAATTGTACCATCTTTATCATGACCAAGTTCAAGAATTCGACCCTTAAAAAAATCTAATGATACAATGTGATTGGAAGGATTGTAAAATATTTGTTGTAGAATTGTCCAACCCATGTCTCGTAATTCAAAGCCAGCCCGATATGCCTTAATGTTTTTCACGTCATCATGCTCGTGCCACAATATGCAATCCTCGTCTTCCCCCCAACTATGCAAAACACATCTATATAGTTCATTTGATGCCACCTTGGCTTTGAGGATCTCATCAGTCGGAGAAGATAAATTTTCACGCAAACGACTAACTCCCTCTACAAGCATTTCTTTGGTTTGATCACTTACGAAGCCAACCATATGAGTTTGTGCTTTGTTGAGTAATGTAACTGAGGTGATACATTTACAATATGTCATATTATGAATTTAAAAAGTTTTGCATGTTATCTTAAAACATAATTTATTTATATTTTCAGGTCCGGTAGAAAAAAAATAAGATTTCATAATATGAAACTAAAAGAACCAAAATATATATTAAATTATTGAAACCAATATGAATAATATATTACATAATATGAAATAGTTACACATAAAAGTTTAAAGATAATACATAATTAAGTATTCCTGAATTTATACTACCTCTTTTTACTAGGTTTGAGAGCATCTGTACTAGGGGTGTATCTTGAGAGTTCCCGCCTACTCCTCCTTTGGAGTTGTGGTTCTTCTTCTTGGTCCCGATGTCCTTCCTCTTGTGCAGTGTCGATGTTAGGTTGGACTTGTTCCATAACTATGTCATGCTGCGTAGGAGTTCCTGACCAGCCAAATAATGCCGTCCACATGGGATTATTCAAGTCATATGGAGCTTGTGGCCATATGAAGATGTCGTACCAGCCCATTGTGATTTTGGAATCTTCCAATGCCCTCCTTATCTTGCTTGAGATGAACTCCCTTCACCACGTATTATAGAAGGGTCTTCTCCCGTCATTCCGAAAGGTCGGGCATAATCAACTGATCCTGCGCACATGGAATGTTTCGGCGGGTCTATAGGATTTAATTGTAATCCTGAAGTATGAGATATTGATCTCCTATCAGGATGCTCCATCACTGAAGTTTGTCATCCTCATCAAGGTTGTCGGCCAGTGGTGTCTATATATACAGATTGCTCCACTTGTCTTGCAAGTTCGAGAATGTCAACATATCATTGATTTATTGACCCTCCACTCTCCATCTGACCCGTAGCATATGACTCAGCAATGTGTTTACTACGTAAGAAGTAATCGACCTATAAATGCATATTTATTATTAAGTATAATATAATATACTTGTATATTAAGTCACATTTAAATCTGTACCTAATCACGTACCATTATCCTCTCCCCCGGTGACATTGGGTAAATTGTTTCTGGTGGATTTATTGGTGCTTTCAGTAAGTAGATGGACGCCCATGATTTGTACCATTGTAAATAATCTGATAACTCCTTCCTACCATCTCCCAATGACTGCCTGATGGTTGTAATTAGCGCTTGTCTATTATTCCAGAACTCAATATATCTTCTGTGGTAATGAAGCCAATCTACCTCAGCTCAACCTCTACCATCAACCCGACGAAATTCTTTCTCCAAGGGCTCAATCATGCAAGATTGTATGCCTCCAAATTGTCGCATCACCCTGTCAGGAAAATGCCACTCGACACATTTCCAGCTAATCAATGGGACACGAGCCGTCCATAGGTTGTTTGCTTCATGGCATATTGGAGGCATCATGCCCATTATAGCATCTGAGTAAGGCATAAATATTGCCTGCATTAAGAGAAGAATTTCCTAATTAATATTAACAAGCATGATATACTAAATTTAAATTGTAGATATCTGGCTTAGCTGAAGTCCATCCAACTCATCTCTGTAGGTCATTATATTTCCAATTAGAACTTCTCGCACTCTTTCTTTAGCCCACCTATAATAAGTTTGTGTTCGTCAAATTATTCATTTTAACAAAAATACATCATAAGATGTTAAGTGAATGCCAAATTACCTTAAAGCAAGGGGCTTTCCGATGATATCTCGTGGGTATGGAACTCAAAGCGTTGGCCTACCAACATGTATCCTCTCCCAAGCTCATACCTGCAACAGGGGAAGGCATCCAGCTATGTACATTCGGGAAGGTTGTGTCGTTAGGTTCAACTCTCTATACAGATGTGCCAATACCGCGGAACCTAGAGAGTAATGGGCAAAATTCTCTATGTGCTCAAGTAATGGTAGATACTACATATGGATGTGGGACCCTGAGGTATCAAGCAATAAGTAGCAGCCAAGAATATATACAATGTATGCCTTAACATGTCGAAGGAATATATATCGGGGTAAATCTTCATATGACTCTTGATAAAAGGTCCATCTAAGTCATCGAAGCGGTAAAATTGAGTACGCTTGTGAATGCCCCATTCTGAAGATAACCTCTACTTCATGGTCGTCAGGATAATGGTATGTAACATTTAGGTCTGCGTGGGAACCCAAAAGCTCATTGCAGCACTCAATCCATGTGTCCCAATGTAACCCTTCTCCGACCATTGAACTACCAATTATTGGAGCACCATCAATCCTGATGCCCAAGATCAACTGAACATTCTGTAATGTAATCGTCATCTCCTCCATCGGTAAGTGGAAGGTGTTCGTTAGTGGACACCACCTTTCAACCAATGCAGCAATTAAAGCGTGATCCAATTGTATGAATTGCTGGTGCCAAATTGAATCCAACCCCGTAATCTGTAGTGCATGGAGCATTCTTCTACAACGAACTGGCCACTCACGTGCCATATGTAGGTGGGTTAAACCCACAAGATGCACAGCCTGTGAAATTATAAGTTATGAATTGGCGAAGTGTTCATTAGAATTGATGATGTTAGATAAAAAATACCTCATTAATGCATGAAGCTCTATGAGCATCCCCCAATAATGCTATGCTTGGATGCTCTTCTACCTCTGGCACATCTACTTATGCACGACTACCTCGTTTAGAACATCGTGGTCGAACTCTTTCCCCCTACCTTCCAGACGCTCTAATAGAAATGTAAATAATCTTAATGAGACAAGTACAAGCATAATTAACATCATTACAATAATTAATGATTAGGCAAATAAATTTGAAATAATATAACATTTGAAATAACATATCCATTACACTTTGAAATAACATATCAAGTACAAGCAATATGACATTAATTAATGATTCAAGTACAAGCAATATGACATTTGAAATAACATATCATTATACTTTTTCAATAACCCTAATTTCTCCTCCTAGTTGTCCTTCGATTAGTAGGGCATGTAGCAATGTTGTGACCTCTGTTATGATAAAAGGAGCATGTTCTACTTGAGCATCCACGGGGTTCATCCATACTGTTACGATACCGGTTAGTTCTAGGTCTACCTGAACGACGCCGGATTGTAGGTGCCAACAATGGTATAATGTCATGATCTTCATTATATGGTGGCCATAGTGTCCTCTCCGGGATAACATGGAAAATTCCTGAATAACTTTCTTTGTAGTAGACTAAGCTGTAGTAGGTCGATACAAAAGCAATGTGATCCCAACGTTGTGAACCCAAGGCAATTACTGCATGTTTGCATGGAGTGTGATAAATCTGTGGGTGACCACACGAACAAGTGCATGTTTGTGGAGATGTAATAACAAAGAGATATGACCTATACGACATGTCAAACACCTCAAACTCATGGTTATTAATTTGGGTTTGTTGTGGACTTCTACGTGCCTGTTGTTCGGCCAATTCCAAGACCGCCTTTGTGCATGGGACAAATGCTGAGCTATCTGAAGCAATTCATTGTTCAACCTTGGTTGTTCGCTTTATGAATAATGAGACAAGATTTTAATATATACTTATGATTATGCCTTGTATAGGTAATCCACGGGCTCTTCGTAGGACGCCATTAAAGCATTCAGAGGCATTTGTTGTCATTACTCCATACCGAAATCCACCATTATAAGTTAGCGCCCACTTTGTACGATCCCTCTCCATCAACCAATCGTAAGCCTCTTTCTTTATATTTTGGATGTCTTTCATGTGCCTCTCGTGGATTTTAATATCATATGTATTTCCTACCCAATACATTTTTTCACAAACAACATCACAATCAGAGACGGCAAGTCGTCGCATAGCTTTCTTAAAATTTTCTCGTAGATAACGCAGACAGTGGCGATGTGCAGCCCAGGGGAAAATCTCACTACAACCACGTATCAAACTGGCATGTTTGTCGGATATAATACATAAATCAGGACGGGAATGTGTACTTACAATTAGATCATGCAGCATCTGCAAGAACCATGTCCATGATTCTATTGATTCGATTCAACCACTACAAATGCAAGTGGGTATAACCCACCATTTCCATCGACACCTACCGCAACAAGCAATGTTCCTCTATATTTTCCTAATTGGAAAGTACCATCAAGACAAAGAATTGG